TGAGTCAATCACCATGGAAAATGAGAACTAAATACATCATCAGGTCTTCATTGAAAGAACTTGAGTGGTCACCTGTGATTAGCTCTTCTCCTAAACTAAGGCTGCTGTGACCCTTAAGCTGGCTTTTAAAAATGTATTCAACATACCTCTTAGAAAACTTAGGCTGAAATATTCTTTAAATGACTGATGCAAACAACTTCACAAATACGCATACAAATGTCTGAATAATGTCACTAAGTAACATGGCATATAAATATGTATTCAGAGTAACATTTACATATTGGCCATAATAGCAAGCATACCATTAACAAAAAAAAAAAAAAAATCATGGAGACTTCACCTGTTCATGTGAGAATCCCAAGGCAAGGAGGCACACCTAGGCAAGAAGGCCAACTCAACTTGCAGCCTCTAACCTGTGAGGCCGTAACTTCCAACAATGCAGAAATCACCGGAATCACGACCGCGGCCCTTCCCCATCACGGGTGCCCAGCACTTCAGCTGCATTAAGATCAGTGAAGGGCTCATGAAAACAGATTGCTAGGCCCCAACCAAGTTTCTGATTCAGTAACCCTAGGGTATGGCCCAAGAATTTTTACTTCTGGCAGATTCCTAAGGTGATGCTGCTGCTCTGAGACACACTTTGAGTTGGTATGTTTGGGGCTGTCTCAGTAAACATGTCCACTCTCCTCCTGAGGCCTCTCCCTGCCTGTGGAGGGGGGAAAACCTCTAACTCCTCCGCCCTGGCTTATCTGAACTTTGGCAGTGGGCTTGAGTGATTATAAATTGGTTGCCCCAATTTACCTACTGTTTTTGAGCAGGCAGAGTAATATTGAGGGTGTTAATACTCTGGATCTGAAAAAATACATGAAGGAAAGTAAAAGAATGGCAGTGCACAGCCTGGTGCCATCCATAATCTCCGTTCTCAAGCTTTTAATACTGTCCCCAAAACCCTGGAGGTTCAAACTCACTGGGAATTTACTTTTCAGTCAACTGACAACCCATTCAGGATCTTCCTGAATCCCTGGTGGCCTCCCCAACAAAGAGCACAAAGCTCCCTGCCGAGGAGGCCTTGGGCCCGGTGGCAGCCGCCCCGCCTCGAGTTCTGCAGGGGAGAGGAAGGCTGAGCCCACGGCGCCTTCCAGCTGAGGCCCTGCAGAGCTCAGCGTGCTCATCCCAAAGCAGTGTGCAGGGCTTTGCC